CCACCACCACCCCAGCAGCAGCAGCGAGAGCGAGAGCAAAAGCAGCAAAAACAGGAGCAACAGCAACAAGAGCAACAGCAGCAGCAGCAGCAGCGACAGCGATAGCAACAACAAGAACAAGGACCAAAAGCAACAGCAGCAGCAGCAAGGGCGAGAGCAAGAGCAGGAGCAAGAGCAGGAGAAAAAACAACAATAGCAAGAGCAACAACAACAGCAACTTCAACAAGAATAACAAGTAGCAATTCCCTACATAATAACCTGCTTCAGAACAATTGTCTGCTTGTTCCTGGAGGTCAAGTTTTGGCTGCGGATTCATGAGCTTTATGTTCAAGATGCGCAGTAACCCATTTAGGGAAGCGCATGGGGTGGCAGAAATATTGCGAGTGCACAATTTCTATTCTTGCTGGTCTCGTTGACCACACCACTGGCTAACTCAGCCTGCCAGAATTTTCGGCTTCATCTGCCATCATGATGGACCAGTGAAAGGAGAGAACTTTCATCGAACCACATCAAAGGTGGGCTCCAACCAACGGCTCTTATTTTCGACCAATACAGCACGCAGCACCCGTTGCATTGGGTTGGCCACAGCGCAAGTACGTCTCAGCAGAACCGGAACTGGTTACGACGCCTGAGCTCGACGACCACACCGCGAGCGCACCCTGGCACGACGTCAATGACCCTCCGACTATCGAAAACTGCCTCAGCTAGGAAAGTTTTGCGGCCAGTCCGGGGTTACCACACAGCTGTGATCATATTATGGGGCAGTTGTGCAACTGGCAAATGTTAATTAGGAAGGTGCTGCGTTACCATATCTTCATGACCCAGAGTGATAATGGCAGGTGATCGCCGGGCAGAGCACAGCACAAGTGCAGCCTGCTTCGGTGACCACAGGCGTTGGGCCAGTCCATATGAGGGTGGACCTTCCTCAAGAATCGTGGTCTTCTTGGCCATGAAGGACCACACCGCACCGGTCTCAACTTTGTGTTTTGGTTAAACTGTCTCAGTGTGGACGCCGCTGCAGTGACGCTCGAGCTGAGGTGGAATGCTATGACGATTTGCACTTTCGAGAGCCCTAGCCATCAGTCGAAACCTCACATGGAGGTTGTCCAATAATATCCAATATTCCTTTTTCCCAAAAGCAGCCCTTTCGCGNNTATCCAAATCCTATTTACACGTCCTGTATTTAATATTTGTTGAATGCTTGGAAGATCTGCTGGGGTCCTATGTGGTCAGGGGGCCTAAAGAATTATGTGTCAAGTACATGGTCTTAAACCCACTCCGCAAATTTACAACCCAAGCTAGAAAAGTGATGTTCCCGCCCTGCATGCGCAAAGCCGGATTTTTCATAGAAGCCCGAGTGGCCAACTACCTTCCCGGGCCATGTGTGCCTTTCGCGCTCCTTTGGCGCGCCTTTGGCGAGAATCCGTTCTGCAACATCTGCCCCGGAAGCGATTTGATGGACATTGATGGATAGTGATACTGATGATGAGAGCATCAGTACTGGCAGCACTTCTGTACTGAGAGTTGCTGGACTTGCCACATTGCAGCAAGTGCCCGCGCATGTTTTCTTAGAAAAGCTTGGCCGTGAAAGCCGAAACAATCCTGTCAACAAAAGCCGTATCATGCGCAACGGTCCAGCTATGCGCCACGCTACAAGAGTTGTTGGGACTGACTTTTGAACCTTTCGTGAACCTTCCGCCGCCCTTTCGCGAGCTTTTTGCCTGCAGTGCTTTTGCATCATGCATCTACGTGCTTATATGTTTTCATCATGGCTTGTCTCACGATCCCCACATGAAAAATGGCTACACAGGCACATGGAACTTTCCCAACGTGCGGATCATAGGGCTGTTCTTGTGGGGGGTAAGGATATGCAAGCGCCTGTCTTCTTTTAGTATTAAGCGCCGTCATTGGAGCCTAAAATCTCAGGAGTCGAGTCTTCGCCTGGGATAACTATGGTCTGATGACGCGACTAAAGAGGCAATGGTGAGAGTCATTACTAAGGCGCCTAGTGTTTTGGTAAATGACTCTAGCGAAGCAGACTTCAGAACCAAGAACAATTTGGATCTTCAAGGTGCTACCAGCCCTGTGGACCAGGACCTTACAAGATCACTGCGGCTCGGATGGCCCTACAAACCGGGCCTTTGGAGCTTATAGTTTAGAGCTACAACGTTGCCGGCTTTTAGGACTCCCTGTGATCTCCCAAAAGCCTGTGTTGCGAAAGGCACAGGAGACGGATTCGTAATGGAATGAGTAGGTAGTTTAGTAGGCGGCGATAGTGGAAGTTAAAGAGTAAAAACTATTTGGTTGGCTAACGGCTAACTCACTCCCCTTCCACGTCAGCAAGAAATGCCACAGTTGGGTCCTCAAAAGTGTACACGGCTTTTTCATTGACGTAGTCGATCAAGACCGGCTTCCTCATTTGGCGCGCGTCTCAACATTGGAGAGAACACCAATACTGAGGGGGCTTTACAGGATGGCGGCCGCACGGTTCTGCGCCTCCCAGACTTTGAGCCTGTTGCTGCGACCTATAGTCCAACTTGTCCCCCCTCCCCCCCCCTGCCCCATGCTACCCTTAGCCGCTGGATGCTAATGTTCCCAGGTTCCAAAAACGCGCCATAGAATCATGATTGCGCAAGATTCGTTTTTTGGGGAGGGTCTCAGAGCTACTGTATGGGCTTCACGTGCACAACAAACATTTGGAATTCTCCGACAGGGACCCTCTGTGGAGAAATCCATGCCTGAAATGCCTCACAGGCCTAAAGGGCAAGAGACGAGGACCCCAGTATTGCTTTACTATTTGCTTTCGACTGACTTGAGGCTTAGGGCTCAAAGGGTGGAATTTGGCAGCTCGACCTTGAGGTTCAAGGATTGCAGCCCAAGGGAGCGCACACTCTACGGATGCTAGCGACGCAGAGCTTCAGGAATCCTACTTCTTTGCAGGCCGGTATTGCAAGCGAACCCCCTCTGCAATCTTGCTCGACACGTTCTGGAACGCACTTTTTACTCACTGAGTGCCTTCACCCTTTCAGGAATGTGAAGTACGGGTTTTGTGATGATACTTAAGATCTCGGACCAGTCCATCCATCTTGCTAAACAACGGACCACCACATCCAGAGCGCTGTGCAAGCCCTATATCTGCTTTCTCCCTGAAAATCCCTTCTACTCCCTGCCGGCCTGGTAACTAATTTGGTTGCTGGTCACATGCCTCATCACCAAATAACCCGGCAAGACCCTAACAACCATGACAAGGTTGCTAAAGCATCCAGCCATTGAGTGCTAGAGTTCTTTCAAGAGATCACCGATCTGAACCCCCGAACCTTTTGAACCCTTTACCCCTTTGGCACAGTCCAAAGCTCAAAGAAGCCCACGTCGCATCCACAGCCTCCAAGTAGCGCTCTCCCTCGAAGGTATCTGGCCTCAGCTTGAGCGGATCAGGCTTGGAGTGTAGGATGTTAGATTGCACCTTAAGGGCTCTAGATTTACGATTTGAGATGTAAGCTTTGGGTGTTAGCCTGGCTACGCAAGATGATGTTTATTGGAAGCTAGACAATTTCCCTACTGCTACCGTAGCTGTTATAATTGGGAAAAGGCACCGTTTGCAGGCCGCAAGCATGTGAAGGATCAGACAACCCTATAGCCTCAAGCACCGTGAAATCTGCGAACCAATCCCCGAACATTCTGCCTCATAGAGCACCCAAGCATCAAAAAAAAACATCACGCCAGCGAGGTGTGCTGGTGATGGACACAGCTCATTGAGCTTATTTTCGAGGCTCGTCCAGAATACATTTCAGGAAACGCGGTTTTGCAAAGTAATCCCTATTTCCTCAACCTTTGCTCAAACTACTACAAGTAATTTGATTTGAGGGCTATGAGGGCTGCCGCACCTGAAGCTTCCAAATCCTTGCTTGACTCTCATCTTAGACAACCCTACCCCAAATACAGCAACCCAAGACACAAATGCCTCACGCCAACACCCGATACCATCCGAAACACCAAACCTTAATCTGTCAACCTCTGTTTGCCATGGTTCTTGGGCACATCTGTCATAGCCAGACCTTAGCGATAGTGTCGTATGGGATCCTGGATCGTTTGCACTATTCTATGATTTGGGGTTTTTGGCGGCCTCCTCATCAAGCATGCAGGGAGCGTGGGGGCCATCTCGATTTACGTCGGTCCACCGATCGAAGAGATTACATCAAAACTAGCCTGAAGAACTAAAATATATAGTGTTAGGCGGTACGCTCCTGTGACCTGATCCATGGATTTCTGGAGATGATGCGAAACTATATCGGGCTTTGGGCTTAGGATTTTGCGGGTTTATGAACGGTTTATGGGTTTGGGGGTTTCGGTTCAATGGCTGTCGAATGCTTTGGAGGACTAGAAGCACCTTACACGCAAATGCCGTCAGGTTTCGCAGGGTTCATCATCAAATTCCACAGGGCCGTAGGACATGTTCAAAAGGCAGTGATGATATAGTCGAGTGGACGCAACTACTGCGAAAACGCACACAGTTATACGGATGGTCGTTCTGGAGTCTCGAAAACGATGGCAGCCCCGACATTGCGACCTGCACATGAAACATCCCAGTCATTGCTGGCACTTTGGAATGCCGAAAGCTTGGGGAGGTGGGGCAGAGGCTGAGTCGCGTAGCACGGACGCATATCTTAGGGATTAGGGCCTTACGCCAAACATCTTACATGGTGGATCGCATGGGAAATACACCTTTCCCCTGGATGATGATGTTGCTGTGAGAATTTCTACAGAGTGTTCTCAAACTTTTGGGTCCCTTCCCTGGGAGGAGTAGAGAGCTTTGGAAGGTAGATAGGAGGACCCCAACTCCGAGAGACCCCCACAAGAACCTAATGGCTTCTGGATGCTTGGGTACCGCTGCAACTGGGAGCTGCTGCCTGCTTCGTCGGGGGACACTCGTGTTGATGAATCAACACAGCTCGGCCCCTTGTAGTATTTTCCGAACATCATGGACACACAACACGTTCCCTAACCACGGATTCCCTGTACAAGATTGGCCAGACCCCGGGAGGCTGCTGCAATTCTCGGATGCTCCCAAACCCGTGTACATCCTGAACCTTACCAAGAGGCTGAACATCTCTAGTTGTTTCTGGGCACCTGTCCAAACTGACTGCCTCAAGGCGTGGATTGAACCCCCGACCCTGAAAGCCTAAACCCAAATAGTTTACTAAAGCTGCTCTAGTCCCAGTAGCGTCTCGCGAGGTTCCCTTGCAGGAGGATCCGTTGCTGTTCTTCAAAGGTCTGGACTAGCTGCATGAATCCTTGCAGAGAGAGAGAATGGAGTTCTCAAGGTTCAGGGTCCCTTTTTGGAGTCTATGTGGGGGAAGACAGATATATATATATATATATG